CTTCGACCGATCTCGGCACGAAGGTCTGCTGACAAACATGACGATCTTCGGGTTCCCTCCCGCTCTCGAATCGTGGGCATCAGGCTTTCTGAGTAAACGAACCATCTCCGTCCGAATTGATGAGACTATCTCAACCGTTTCCTTGGAATATTAGTATTTTCCAAGGTTGAATAATTGTGTCTATTTTCTCCCATTTATCACTGATCTGTCCAAGCCTTTCAACCTTATTTATTCTTTGCCATTGACGTCACTCTTCATTACCCCTTTTTCTACCGCTATGTCAGCCCCAAAGTCAATCGCAACCTTATTGTATCTATCGTATCACTGGACTCCCGTCTGAAGTGCATCTCGTGAGGTTACAACCACCATGTTCTATCTATGTTCCAAACTCCTCCGTTGTTGTTATTTCTCCGTATATATTTGTATATTTTCACACACGTCAGATTCCAGACTGTGTGCCGAACAAATCATGGTACAATAATCGTTACAAAAAAAAAAATAAATAAATAGAACGCCCTTTGACGGGACCACTCGCACAACTTCCTGGTTATGGCCGTGGTCACCGGCTCGATTGGAAATCGAGGTGCATTGGACACCTTGAACATTTGACCCCGTCCGAAGGGAGTCTGATCCGATGAACTGGACACCGGCCCCCAATAGATTGCGGTTTTCGCACACCGCCCCGCTGCCTTGCGTGTCAGGATTTGGCTAGCCAAAGGCTCAACTTGTGGATTCCCCAAGAAAATTTACCTGCCTTGGCCTGGGAAACCTGGCAGTATTCCGCCCACATGCAAATCATGTAACGTTTTTTTGTAAAGATTATTGTACCGTGATTCGTTTGGCACACAGTCTGTTCCCAGACAAGTGTTGAATATAATAATATAATATGGTGACATGCGTGAACAACAATATCAACGAAAAAGCGAATCGCGACCTGATCACGGTTGTATTGATCCACGTTTTACGTTGCGTCGTGTTCTTCGGTTGTATTACACCAACGATAACGCTTTTTCTTGATCTGAAAGAAGCTTTGGACTCAGTTGATCCCCAGGCTCTCTTCGGTTGTCTTTTGCCTAAAGCAATGCTCTAGAAGTGTGTTAACTTACCAAGGTCGCTGTACTCACAAACTTTTTGTCGAGTGAGAATCTTAACAAACTAAGTAGCTCGTTTTTCACCGACAGCGGTGTTCGTTAAGGGTACCTTATTTTGCCATTTCTGTTCAATTTCGTCGTAGACCGAATACTGTAGAGCGCACTAGGCCGGTCATTAAGGCTGTCTTGGAGGGAACGGAAACCATCGGGACCGAAGGATGGGCAACCAGTCACGACAGCAGTGTACTTGCAGGTGACAGGATGTGGTGAGATTCTGTATGTGCACAGAAGAAAATAAAGGGGACGGCATAGCACCCTCAGAAAAACACTAGAATCGACATCTGTGGAAGAGGAGCAAATAAAGCGAATGGGGTCCTGCGAAAGAAAAAGTCAAATAAAATATTCAAAAGTTGGGGTATTAGATCGCACTCCAAAAGACGTTCACTGAACATTTTTCGGTCTACAGGATCGAAGTTGTTTTCGTAATTGGTAAAATGTAACCGAGCAATACCTGCATATTTGTCTACGACAGATGCAACGGTAGGCACAATGTGGGCAACAGGGCCAAGTGTGAGCAGACTAGATATGTAAGTGAACTGACGGGTATGGCGAGAGTTGCATAGGGATACCATGCAATGTAGGAAAACATTCTTGAAAACTTTCAGCAACATAGAGGAGCTTGTAATGGATTTCATTCTTGAAACTGCCCTATCCTCGTGCAAGGATAGCGGTATCGACTTCTCCCGGGTGCCAGATTGTTCTGATCTAGAGTATGCAGACTACATGGTACTACCAAGTGAGGATCCAGGTAAGTTGCAAGCTTTTCTGGATTGTTTGAATGCTATTGTAGCCATGTTCTGTATGCGTTTGGCACCTTCAAAGTGTAAAATGTTACAAGATTGGATTAGTTCAGCTTTCAATCTCTCCCTAACTGGGGAAGTATTAGAGAACGTGGAGAAGTTTTTCTGTCTTGGCAGCTATATCTCACCTGGCAGACGCATCACAGATGAAGTGTCGGCACGCATACAAAAGACTCGGTTAGCATTTGTCAACTTGAGGCATTTGTAACGCCGTCACGAAATCCGGCTGTTTATGAAGAGTCGAGTATATGCTGCAGCAGTTCGGTCAGTCCTTCTCTACGGTGTTCGAACAGCGCTGTCTACGTCGCGCTGCACGAGTCTGGTGGGGTAACCGGATGGGCACTGCTGAGGTTAGGCGTAGAGTACTAGGCACTCGCGGTTGTCCACTGGAGCAAGTAGTCGATCTCCATAGACTACACTAGTTGGGACATGTGCGTCGCATGTCACCAGATGGGTTGTCACGGCGAGCGATGTTTGCAGAGGCAGGTATCGGTTGGTAAAAGGTCAAGGGTGGTCAAGCCAAGACTTCACATGAGGGTATGAAAACCCTA